GGGGTTGGGGTGGAGCCCTTTGCAGAACCCGGTGCACCGCAGGCGACCGCTTGCCCAAGAAGGGCGTGCTCCGAGGTGAGGTGGCGCCGTCCGCTGGAAAAGCACCTGGAGCCCCGCGGACGAGGAGAGCCCAGGCAGCCGCGCACTGGGGTCGTGGGGCCGGAGGCTGCGCACAGCAACCTGCCCCTTTCATTGCCAAGGCCGCGGGCTTTGCCCTGGGGCGGGCGGGGCGCGGGGGCGGGGTGGACGGGGCGCGCTGGGAGCGGGGCCGTCCGTGTGGTCTTGCAGGCCCAGCCCTCGGCCCGCGGGACAGTGGTGAGTGGTGGTGCAGCCTCGCGCCCCGACCTTCCGGTGGACACACCCAGCCCGCTCTCCTGACCGCCGGTGTTCTGGCCTCGGGGGAGGTCAGCTCTGGCCCCTGCAGCGGGGCGGTCCCCTCGTTCTCCAGGGCCGGGCCTGGCGCACTGCACCGGGTCAGGCCGTGCAAGCTGGGCGACGTCAGCAGAGGCCGCCCCCGGCTCGTCCGACTGAGAGCAGACGCAGAGCAGTGAGACGCGCTTACGGGGCGCGGGTGCCATTGCTAGCTAAAAATAAGGGCGGCTCCGTGACACATTTCATGACATGTGCTAGTATGTGTGCAGAACTTTACACTTAACCTGCGCTTCTTTCTCTCTCTCTTTTTTCCTAGCCAAACATCATGTCAATGGCAACAGAACAGTCGAACCTTTCCCAGAGGGAGCACAGATGGCTCTATTTGGTAAGATATCAGCTTGAAAGAAAACCCAAATTGTGCTCAGAGGCCGGTGCCAAATTTCTGAGTTTCAGCAAGTGTCCTCAGGGACTTCAAAATCTGGGCTCTTCTAGAGATTTACAACTCACTGCAGCCAGAAGCACAGCAAAACCAAAAAAGAAGAAGAAACAAAAACCAAAAAACCAACCCCAGAAAAAGCACCCCCAAAACGTATCGCATTCTTGGAGTTTTGGGGATCAGAAAAACTCGCGCTGAGCGTGGGGTGCGTTCGCTCCTGCCAGGCCGAGCAGAGCCCGCCCGCCAGCTCGCCGTCTGAGCCCGCGGACCGAGCTGCGGTGCAGGTCCTCCTGGCCGGGGCCTCACGGAGCTTTGAATTGTTGCCCTGCACCAGGCCAGTGGCTTTTCTTTCTCTTCCTGAACGCCGCCCTTGGGAGAGGACATCAGTTAAAATGTCGTAGACACAATGAAGTCCTGCCCTGTGAATCTGCCTCTCCAGGGAGTAACTGAACGGAACTTCCCTGTAGCTTAGGAATTTTAGGTCCCTTGATTCAGAAATCACCCTCAGATCAAGTGGCTTGCACAGTCAGGACCCAAAGCCCTGGCAGAGCCCCCCAGGGAGGCCCCCACGTGGCCAGGGTGGCCTCGCGGCTCCGAGAAGCCTGGGCGTCACTTCTAGGCGGTCCCCCCCAGCCCCCCAAGATGGCCACTCCCCCCAGGATGCGCTGCGGCAGTGGGCGGCCCTGCCCGCTGGGCCTCCTCCCTCCGCCCCCACCCCTTCCCTGCCTTTCTCGCCTCCCCTCCGTCTCCTTCCCTTCAGCCCCCAAAGCTGAGGTTCCCTGACTTGGGGTTCCCCCCCAGCTTCCCTCTGACCCTGCCGGGCTCTTGCTGAAACCTGCTTTAAGCACTGCAGTGTCTTCCAGCCAGACACTTCGCCTCCGGACAATGACTGTGAATGAGCTCGTGGCCTAGAGCGTCTCCCGGCCCCGGCCGGTAGCCCCTTGTTTTATAATTGGGGGGGGGGGTTGGGGGTGCTAGATCCTAGACCCCCAGGATGCCTAACACTGGAGCCGGCAAACCCCACGTACCGGCTGTCCTTACGCTCAGGCCCAGGGTGAAGGCCCGTTTCGGAGTTGGGCCGGGCAGAGGTCAGCAACAGCCACTGTCACAGACCGAGAAACGGTGACAGCTGGCAGCGGTTCAGTGGCGCGGCTGCGCAGCCTGGCTCAGGGCGTCTTACCGTTAGCCGTGCGCGCAGCTCAGACGGCGACGCGAAGCCTCGGCTGAGGGCCACTGGCTGGAACAGGGTGAGTCATGGTGATGACAGATGGGGGGCCCGATCTAGGGGCCTCCTCCTGCTGAGGAGCTGCGTGGTCTGCCGGGGTCGTCGCTGCTCAGCGTTTCATCACCCCGTGCTCAGAACGTCACGTGCAGAACCTGAGTTTCCTTGAGAAACGTGCTCAGCGTTTGATTTTCGGACCTTGCGATGAGGAGCCGTGTTCGGCTAACGTCTGCGCCGTGGGCCGGCCAGTGTCTGGCGACAGTGAACACCGGGACCCTCCTTTAGATGAGGTGGGGGCGCTGGGGTCTGGGTGCC